ACAGTTGCAGATATTGACTATGAGGCAACAGTCACTGAATGCCACATAGATCTGCGACTCAACACAGCAAGGATAGCTACTTATGTACAGTGGTTCCTCGGTTAACAAATGGTTCGGCTAACAAAATTTCGGTTGACAAATTACCTTCCATAAGAATTTTCAATTCGGTTAATGAACAAAAATTTGATTAACAAAATCCTTACGAACATCATTTTGTTCTGCACATCAGCTGATGGGCTAGTCTGCCAATTCAGTAATTCAGTAATCTGTTCTATGTTTACATTCGTTTCCAGTGGAATAAATATCAAGAAAATTGTGTTCTTTAATATTTGTGCAAAATGAATACTAAAATTTAAGTCTAGTACAAACTATTGCATGTTTACATTCAAATTAATCACTGTCCTATAAGAATTCCAGCAATGTAAATTATATTCTCCCCGGTCACTTCTATGAAATTTTATTAGGAAAAAACATAAACTCAATCTAAAGGACATAAATAAACAAATAAATACTTCACTAAACCTTCAGCGCTGTCAAAAGTATCACCTCACCTCCTTCCCTCCCTCCCTCCCTCCCTCTGCCCAGCCAGGGTTTTAGGCTTACAGATTTTATCTTATATAATGTCACAGACTAAAGTTAGGAGATTATAATTTGCATTGCTGGAATCCTTGCAAGACAGCAAATAATTTGTATATAAACGTCATATATTTTGCACAAGAAATAGAAATTAATCACCTGTATCACATTACAGAAGTGATTTAAGAGTAAGAGTGTGTATATATATATATATATATATATATATATATATATATATATATATATATATATATATATATATATATATATATATATATATATATATATATATATATATATATATATATATATATATATACCCCCTATAAAGATATATACAGGGGGGTATATACAGTACAGGTGGCCTATCAAAAATCCGGGAACCTCGGGACCTGAGGAGTGCCGGATTTTCGAAAATGCCAGAAAACTGATGGTTATATTTGCTGTATAAGTTTAACAGAAAATGGCTACCTGTACAGTCCTTTAAACAAAGAAAATTAAACACTTAAGTTAGGATAATATAATTGACATTGCTGGATTCTGTTGTTCACTTAACGCGGTTTTCACTTAACGCGGTACCCTGTGGGTTCAATTGACCGCGTAAAGCGGAGTACTACTGTACTTCATTTTTAGTCCATATAACACGCGGACTTTGAACATATAATCAACGACCTCACCAGCCAGGAATCGAACCCTTGACCTACTGGGTGGGACTAGGGAATGCTACCGACCAACCCACAAGGACACTAAAAGCAGTTCTAGGCTCTGTTATATTTCACACAAAGCCTGTTCATCGAGCTGATGGCGTCGTGAACCTCATTGGGAACCACCCGTGCCTCGTATGTGGTGTCAGTAGCATTTTACTGAATCCAGCTGGTATGAAACACGAGGTACCATATATATATACAGTAGTACCCCGCTTTACGCGGTCAATTGAACCCTCAGGGTACCGTGTTAAGTGAAAACCGGGTTGAGTGAACAACAGAACATATGGGATTAATTCCAATAGAGACTGGCCCGACCCCCAAACTCTACTTTTTCCGACACAATACCTATGTTCTAGTAAAAATAACATCTTAATTTTATGATGGTACATGCACACAATTAATACTTAAGAGAAATAAAGAAATACAGTCACCAAGTTAATGTCCATTCAAATAATGGACTCAACTCCCTCCCCCTCTTCTCACACTACACTGCTGGCTCTTCCCTCTCTGAGAAATTTTGGGGGGAAAACCACTAGATTTTAATAAATAATACCTCAAACTAAAGTTAGGATAATATAATTGACATTGCTGGATTCCTTGTAAGACCAGGAATATTTTGAATATAAATGTCATATATTTTGCACAAAAGATAACATATTTACTCAGAGTAAACATTATATCTAAAATTTGTATGTCTAATGCAAAATCTATGATGTTTATATTCAAAATGATCATCAAATTGAAAGAATTCCAGCAATGTAAATTATATTCTGGCCGGGTAATTTGTATGAATTTTATGAGCTAAAACAAATATCTTCAGTTAATAAAAAAAAATATTCTTCACGACACTATCTGTCAATCAAAGTACCCCACCTTGCCTCCCCCCCTCTTCCAACCGCGCCAGATGGTCGGTCCATCCCAACCCTCCCCCCACCCCCCACCAACCCTCCCTACCAGATGTGTGGGAAAACCAGAATATTTACCTTTTTAATAATAAATAATACCTCAAATTAAAGTTAGGATAATATAATTGACATTGCTGGATTCCTTGTAAGACCAGGAATATTTTGAATATAAATGTCATATATTTTGCACAAAAGATGACATATTTACTCAGAGTAAACATTATATCTAAAATTTGTATGTCTAATGCAAAATCTATGATGTTTATATTCAAAATGATCATCATATTGTAAGAATTCCAGCAATGTAAATTATATTCTGGCTGGGTAATTTGTATGAATTTTATGGGCTAAATAAAAAAAAATATATATTATACTTCACCGTGTATATGAGTAGATGAACTGCGTTAAGTGAAAGTTCAGTTCTGGCGAGGCACCGCGTATATGAGAAATCGCGTCAAGTGAAACCGCGTAAAGCGGGGTAATACTGTACTTCATTTTTAGTCCATATAACACGCGGACTTTGAACATATAATCAACGTGTTTCATACCAGCTGACGTTATGCGTTTTTGGCTTTACTTTGTATGTACTTTTCTGTGAGCTGGAACCAATTACCCAATATCCCATTGATATAATGGATTCGGTTAACGAAATTTTCGGTTAACGAACGACTCTGTGGAACGAATTGTGTTCGTTAACTGAGGGACCACTGTACAGTATTAGCATATTTAATATTAAGGTAATAAAATGGTGGCAAAGGTATGGCTATTGGGGGAGGCTGGAGGGCATTTTGTAAAAAAAAAGAAAAAAGTACACTAGTAGTAGTAGTACAGGTTGTACCTCTCTAGTCCGGCAACCTCGGGACCTGACCGGTGCCGGACCATGGAAATTGCCGTACCATGGAAATTCACCCTTTTCCTGGATAGATAGTGAATTGTGCTTATGCCTGGAAGCACTAGCACCACTTTCTCTGCGTCATGGTCTCTTTGAAGACATATTGAAGGGTTAAATGTCGTATAGTAGCTTCTCAAATTTCGCGAGTTTTTAATTCTTAACGTATTTTATTGAAACACACAAAAAAATAAATAAATAAAAATTTTGACGGCGGAAACTTGAATTTCGACGGGTTTGAACGGCCCGCCAACGTGCAGACGACGTGCATAATCGTGTAAACAGCGTCATTTCTCTTATGTACAAGAGATTCATTATTGTTTATTACTGAATGTCTTTTTTATCGAATTAATGTTTATGTGTGCAAAATGAGCAATAAAATTCATTAATAATACGTAGAATATTAAAACACACGAGGAAATGACACAACATTGTTTTCATTGATTACAAAACCAGTGACTGACTGGTTCTACTTATGAAACTGAAGAAAATAAGACCTTGGTTGTAGCTGTAGTAAAATTAATATGGTTGTTTTAAGTAATGTTATTTAATGTTAATAAATGGAACAATAGAAGTAGCTAACGATAATGGTAAAGGAAAAAAGAGATCGCATATGTAAGTGCGCATGCGCACACGTGAAAACATATCGTCATTACTTTACATAAGAATATGAAAGCAACACTTATTTACTGTTCATATATATTTTAATTAATGTTTCTGAATTTGTTTTTATTGAATTAATGTACATGTGTGCAAAATTAACAATACAATTTATTAATAATACGTGGAATATTAGAGGAGACGAGACGGCTGCCGGCATTGTTTATGTTAAAGCTTACGAAACCAGTGACTGATTGGTTCTACATATAAAACTGAAGAAAATAAGACCCTGAGTTTAGCTGTAGTAAAATTAATGTAAAAAATGAATATGGTTGCTTGAAGTACCTGTAATGTTATTTAATGTTAATAAATGGAACAATATAAGTAGCTAACCATTAATGGTAAAAAAAAAAGTGAGACTGCTTGTATGTAAGTGCGCACATGTGAAAATATATCGTCATTACTCTACATAAGAATATGAAAGCAACACTTATTTACTGCTCATATATATTGAAGGGTTAAATGTTGTACTCTGTATAGACAAGCAGAGAGAGAGAGAGAGAGAGAGCAGCCGAACTGCCGGATGTAAACAAACCTTAATTTCCCGCGGCTTTTTTTTTTTTAAGGGGATTAGCCCACCCGGGCATAGGTCACTGACCCACATTGGGGCCTGAGGGGCAAAAATTTAATACTCCTGTAATAATAATAATAATTCAGAGAAAAAAAAAAAAAAGCTGCCCATCTACCTATTGGACAAACTAAAATCGTTCCGGACCACGGGAGTTTCCGGACCACAGAATGCCGGACTAGAGAGGTACAACCTGTAGTAGTAGTAGCAGTAGCAGTAGTAGTAGTAGCCTGGATGAGATGTCGATTGTCTTTCTCTCTCCTTCGGTCGGCTTTGCTCTGCCTCAGGGGAACGAGAGCTTCTGCCCCTACTCCGACAACTGCTGCAGATGTTGACTATGAGGCTACAGTCACTGAATGCCGCATAGATCTGCTGCTCAACTAATTTAACAAAGATAGGATAGCTTCTTATGCATTAAGATATTTAATATTAAGGTAAATAAATGGTGGCGAAGGTGTGGCTATTGGGGGAGGCTGGAGGCCACAAAAAAAAAAAAAATAAATAAAAGTAGTAGTAGTACCGTAGTTGGTATTTATTTTTGAAAGGTGTGACAATTTTGACAAATGATGTGCTTAGTGCTTGTTAAAAACAGTAAGGTGGTCCACCCGAGGGGAAACACTGTTGCTTTGGGCTATGTTATTGATCTTCATTATGTTGTGACCCAAAATTTTTATATTTCTAAACTTTTTGTACAGGTGAAGACAGTAAGTGTTGCAGGAAACATTGGAGACACTGACATAAGTGAAGGTGTTACTGGTAATGTTATTGTTGCCGTTCATGATTCCGAGATGAGCCTTCATCGCTTAGCAGCACGAGCCCAGATCAATCAGTGGCAGCTTGATGAAGAAGGTAAGTCCTTCTTCTCAAAACAATTTCACTCATACCTTTAATAACAGTCTAAGCTATTGTACCATTTATTTTTACATGGGAAGAGGTGTTTGTTCTTAATGAGTATGGATGGTTAGTGCACGGGCAAGTGGTGCTCAGAGTGTGTGTGTGTAGTAGCAGTCGTAATAATAATAATAATAATAATAATAATAATAATAATAATAATAATAATAATACAAATGATAATAATAAAAATAATAATACAAATAATAATAATAAAAATAATAATAATAAAAATAATAATTATGAATAGTTTTTTGAAAAGGTTCTGCAACCCTAAGGCTGAAAATATACATTGGACACAAATGACTTTCTACATACATTGACAAAAAGGGGTGGGGGGGTGGGAAAGCTTTTATTAGAGAAAGGAAAAGGAACATACAGTAAACAAGTTAATGTTTACAGTGGAGGTGATGTAGGTCACATGGGCTGAGGAGTTGAACTGCAAACACATGGTGTAGATGGTGTTATGAAGAGCCTCACATGGTGTAGTAACTCCCTCACAGATGGTGTTATGAAGAGCCTCACATGGTGTAGTAACTCCCTCACAGATGCTGTTATGAAGACCTCACATGGTGTAGTAACTCCCTCACAGATGGTGTTATGAAGAGCCTCACATGGTGTAGTAACTCCCTCACAGATGCTGTTATGAAGAGCCTCACATGGTGTACTAACTCCCTCACAGATGGTGTTATGAAGAGCCTCACATGGTGTAGTAACTCCCTCACAGATGGTGTTATGAAGAGCCTCACATGGTGTAGTAACTCCCTCACAGATGGTGTTATGAAGGACCTCACATGGTGTAGTAACTCCCTCACAGATGGTGTTATGGAGGACCTCACATGGTGTAGTAACTCCCTCACAGATGGTGTTATGAAGAGCTCTCACATGGTGTAGTAACTCCTCACAGATGGTGCTATGAAGAGCCTCACATGGTGTAGTAACTCCCTCACAGATGGTGTTATGAAGGCCCCCTCACATGGTGTAGTAACTCCTCATGATGGTGTTATGAAGAGCCTCACATGGTAGTAACTCTCACAGATGGTGTTAAGTATGACTACATGGTGTAGTAACACCTCACAGATGGTGGGTGTTGGTGAAGGACTCACATGGTGCAGTAACTCCCCCACAGATGCTGCTATGAAGGACTCACATGCAACCCCCACAGATGGTGTTATGAAGGAACCTCACATGGTAGTAACTCCCCACAGATGCTGTTATGAAGAGCCTCAAGGAAATTAACTCTCAGTATATGGTGTTATGAAAGTCACAGGTGTAGTAACTCTCACAGATGGTAAAAGAGAAGAGCCTCACATGGTGTAGTAACTCCCTCACAGATGGTGGGTGTTATGAAGGACCTCACATGGTGTAGTAACTCCCTCACAGATGCTGTTATGAAGGACCTCACATGGTGTAGTAACTCCCTCACAGATGGTGTTATGAAGGAACCTCACATGGTGTAGTAACTCCCTCACAGATGCTGTTATGAAGAGCCTCACATGGTGTACTAACTCCCTCACATATGGTGTTATGAAAAGCCTCACATGGTGTAGTAACTCCCTCACAGATGGTGTTATGAAGAGCCTCACATGGTGTAGTAACTCCCTCACAGATGGTGTTATGAAGAGCCTCACATGGTGTAGTAATTCCCTCACAGATGCTGTTATGAAGGACCTCACATGGTGTAGTAACTCCCTCACAGATGGTGTTATGAAGGACCTCACATGATGTAGTAGTTCCCTCACAGATGCTGTTATGGAGGACCTCACATGGTGTAGTAACTCCCTCACAGATGGTGTTATGAAGAGCTTCACATGGTGTAGTAACTCCCTCACAGATGGTGTTATGAAGGACCTCACATGGTGTAGTAACTCCCTCACAGATGGTGTTATGAAGGACCTCACATGGTGTAGTAACTCCCTCACAGATGGTGTTATGAAGGACCTCACATGGTGTAGTAACTCCCTCACAGATGGTGTTATGAAGGACCTCACATGGTGTAGTAACTCCCTCACAGATGGTGTTATGAAGAGCCTCACATGGTGTAGTAACTCCCTCACAGATGGTGTTATGAAGAGCCTCACATGGTGTAGTAACTCCCTCACAGATGGTGTTATGAAGAGCCTCACATGGTGTAGTAACTCCCTCACAGATGGTGTTATGAAGAGCCTCACATGGTGTAGTAACTCCCTCACAGATGGTGTTATGAAGGACCTCACATGGTGTAGTAACTCCCTCACAGATGGTGTTATGAAGGACCTCACATGGTGTAGTAACTCCCTCACAGATGGTGTTATGAAGAGCCTCACATGGTGTAGTAACTCCCCCACAGTGCAGCAGCTATGGAAAAATTACAGTCAAACTGAAGACATTCAGATGTCAGTACCAGATGTGGAAACTCAAGACCCACCAGGAACTAGTGTCCACGCAAAGGAAAATAGTGATACTGGTAACAGTTCTACTGATGCCTCTGTGGACATGGTCAGTGAAGATGAACAAGCACAAACAGAAAATGGTGGTGATGTCGGGTGTAACCAAAGTGTGTTGTTGTCTGCCACTGACTTTCAACAATTGTTGAGACGTACATGCTCTAGAAATGTTTCAAAAACGTTAGGTGGCTTCCTGCCTGCCGAAGGGACAGGCAGCGCAGAAAAGAACAGTATCATACAGTGCCTTTTGCTTCTTTCCAAATACATTTCATAATGACCAGTGTTAATACCAGACAAAGTTCCAAATACATTTCATAATGGCCAGTGTTAATACCAGACAAAGATACAGAGCGGTGAAGGTGATGAGTTGGAACATCTCATCCCTTAGAAAACGATACCCTGACCTACACCACAAAGTTGTGACTGAGGACATCGATATTGTGTGTCTGCAGGAGTGTCTCACACCTAATGGTAAGCCCCCACCCAGTCTGCCCAATTATGTGTATTATGATCCTAGTTCTACTCACACATGTTTGATGTATGTTAAGAAGTCACTCCTGCATGTACCTCTTGTATCCAAAAAGACTACCAACCTTCAGTACCATGGGATCACTATCCACCTGGGCAACTCCACACTCAATGTGCTAAACGCCTATGTTCCCTCAGATCAGCTTCAGTACACAGATCTCCCAGACTTTTTACACACTGAGCCCGCTGTTCTGATGGGTGACCTGAATACTAGACACAAGAAATTAGGTGACTCCACCACTAACACCAATGGTAGGAGACTTATCTCACTTCTCAGCGCATATGAAGATGTTCAAATTATAGGTAATAATGAACCAACACATCATCTATGGCGTGGGTCTAGACAAATGTATTGGTTTTAATCTATCATACACAACTCATAGCTCTGATGTTGTCACTGATCTTATGTCTGACCACAGCCCAATCCAAGCTAGTATACTTGTAGCCAATGACACCCCCACTGGTGGTAAACTCAACAGACGTAGAATCACAGTCAAGCAAGAACATGAAAACCAGTTCATAGACTTCATCCATGACTGGTACAAGGACTACAAGCCTGACAACTACCAAAGTTTCCATTTCGATCTGATAGATAGGACTTATGCATACTTCACCAACAATGCCTCCACCAAAAAAAGGAGAAAACGTGGTCAGCATAATGGGAACAGGCAACAGCAGTGCTATAATGACCCTGAGCTGAAAAAACTCAGGGCTAGGGTCAGGAGGGTGGGTAAGGGTTATGAACAAATTTGAACACCTCAAATGTTACAATTGTATCAAGCTTCCCTTGCTGCTGTCAGGGAACGTGTAATAATTATTCATAGTAAATAAAATTTATAGTAAAAATAAAATAAAATAATATAATAATAATAACACCACTGTAATAATAATAACAATACTACTACTACTACTACTACTACTACTACTACTACTACTACTACTTTTTTTTTTTTTTTTTGCCTCCAGCCTCCCCCAATAGCCACACCTTCGCCACCATTTATTTACCTTAATATTAAATATCCTAATACATAAGAAACTATCCTATCTGTGTTAAATTAGTTGAGCCGCAGATCCATGCGGCATTCAGTGACTGTAGCCTCATAGTCAATATCTGCAGCAGTTACTACTACTACTTTTTTTTTTTTTTTTTTTTTTTTTAAACGTGGCCTCCAGCCTCCCCCAATAACCACACCTTCGCCAACCATTTATTTACCTTAATATTAAATATCCTAATACATGAAACTATCTATCTGTGTTAAATTAGTTGAGCCGCAGATCTATGCGGCATTCAGTGACTTTAGCCTCATAGTCAATATGCAGCAGTTGTCGGGTAGGGAGATTCCCTGAGGCAGAGCAAAGCCGACCGAAGGAGAAGAGAACAGTCGACATCTCATCCAGGCTGTAACACAACTGGGCTGCTGCTTCTGTTCGGAGATCAGCTCCGCGAGTCTGGCGTAGAAACATCTTGCACTTGGGCCCACATCCACCAGGGTTGTGAACACTAGAGGGTGAAGCTGCCTTGATCAACATTTTGAATTCTCTCCCCATATGCCCTTCTCTTGTCGTTCTCGTTCCTCCTATCGCAGCATCGAGAGCTGGTTCGGTGACAAACGGCCATGGGATCAAAAATCCTGATGTCGGAAAGCTGTGTCCCAGCGTCCAGAATCCTCGAGCACTGGCGTCCACGCGGCTTCGTTAGATGTGTTTGAAGTCCTGTGTTGGAAGATCTCGCCATCCAGTGGAAGGAGGGTCGGTTCTACCATGACGTCCGGCATATTTCCTTCAACATATTTGCTGTGAGATCCCTTACCTCGTCATGCCTCATGCATATAAGCCCCCCTTCTTGCAGACCATGGCGTGATCGCCATCATAGGAAAACCACCACGCATTGGGAGGCAAACCATCTACTGGCCAACCGTACCTTAGAGCAATGGCATCTGTAAATTCTTGTTTGTTAGGCTGAAACCATTTGCCCTTATCGGTAACGTAGTTAACCAGTTCGAGCGCCCACCTCCTGCGCTA